CAGAGTTATGGTAGCTGGGGGGGGTGGGCTTATTTTCGGGGAGGTTTATTTTCGGGGGATGCCTTATATTTCAGCGAGAGGCAAAACTGTAAGTAGGTCTTATTTTGGGGGGGTATCTTACTTTTGGGGAAACACGGTCATAGAAATGAAGACTTTACACTTCTAGTGAAAAAGAAATCCATGCAACCTCACAAAAAGCGCAGAGCTAAGACATTCTACAAGCAGGCTGTAAAGGAAAAGCAGATCGTCATTGTGGTTTTTTTGGTAAAAATTTGATTATACTTGGTTAATGGATACTGTTCCCTTACGATGTGCAGGCTTTGTGTTATATATGGCATCCCAGGGGAACCCTGTGAGGGGCCAGCTGCCTCTTTTGTCCATGGCCCATGAGTTGATGTCCTTTGGGAAGATGTTGGCCTGCATGGTCTGTGGACACTAAGCTCCCTTCTCCCTGCTCTGTGGATCAGTGAAGAGCACCTGCAGCTTATCATGTCTATAGTGGGTAGCACAACCGTTTGTACTTTAGCAGTGACCTGAAGGTGGTGGCTTGAATCCACTCAACAATGCCATGGAAGAAAGGCTCCGTGATCTGTTTCCATGCAGATTGCAGCCTGTGTTAGGCAGGGTTCTCTAGAGCAGCAAAACCAGGACACGTATGATGATAGATAGATATGTTTATAGGTAGATATGTTTATATAGCAAAAAAGGAATATAACAGCAAATTAGTCCACGTAGCAGTACAGAGAGCTCGGTCCAACTCATTTTCGTGGGACAGTTAACAGCAGTTAGCCTACTGAAGTTCCTTTAAATTCATGTAGCCAAGAACGCAGACAGGAGGAAGAGGAAGTGGTGAGGTGTAGCAGCAGAGACCAGTAGCACAGTGTAGCCGAGCAGGTCCAGGTGGAGCCTCACGGTGCAGTGATGCAAAGTGACCAGCAGGTGGTGTGGTGTCTGGAGGGATGGCAAGATGAGTGGAGTCGGCTGCAGGCAGAAGACAGGGCAAGTTTGGACAGTGCTTCAGTGTGGAACAGCAATGGCACAGCAACACGGTCCACTGTGGTTCATGGGTTGGCTCAGACAAGTAGCCCAGCACACATGGTAAGGCAGGGTCGCTAGCTCAGGCTGCATGCTGGTCTGACCACCAGAACCACAGGGAGAGAGAGTGGCCAGCCTCCACTGAGCCATTTAGCGTGGTCATGCCTCCAGATGTCATCAAGCTGCAACCTGGTTGACAAGCTAAACGCTACCCATATCTTCTTACGGGTGCCATGTTGACACAAAATACCAAACTATCGCATGGCCCAAGACAGCGGAGTGGAGCACTTCTACTCGTTAACGCATTGGGTCACTATGAGTTGAAATAGATGGGAAAGCAGCAATTAGGACATTTTTCTTAATGAAACGTTATGAAAATTTTCAACCACAAAAGAGAATAGTATAATGAACATGAACATAATAACACCATGCCGAGCATTGTCATGGCTTTGTAATACATGACTTTCCTTTTCTTTTCTGAAATAGTTTTTAAATAGTTGTATTGGCATATACTTCACACATTATACACTTTAATTGCTCGACCATATTAAGAAGAGTTGTGCAATCACCATCACAATCAATTCTAGAACATTTCCTTTCTTAAGTATCATTGTTTGCCCACCATTCCCCCCACACCCTCCATGCCATAGGTAACCATTAATGCAGTCATCGTCCCTGTCGTTCTACCTATCCTAGATTTCACATGCCGAAAATCATACAAAACATAAACAGGAAGCAAACTAACAAATGGAAATATCAACAACAATACCTAGACAAACAGAAAAACCTCAAAAGAAAGAAAGCAGAACATGTTAAAAATCTGAAACAACTTTAAAGTGGGTTGAACGGAGATCAAATGACAAGGTGTGGCATTTTAACCTAGCTACACCTGCCATAATGGACGTTAACGGTGCTCTCTGTCTGACAGCAAGGCTAATCAGTCTTCAGCTGTAGTCAGAGGGCTTCTCTGGAGGTTCATCTGTGGGGGCACCCTACAAATGGGTTTGGGGCACCTCCTGTCATCCATAGCCTTCTGCAAATGAGGTGTTCATAATTTAAGCTCTGATACTATTCCCTCTGTTCAGATTCAGATTTTTAATTGTAAATAATATTTGTAAATATTACTTGTAAATTTACACACAGTAATTTATTATTGCAAAAAACGAATTATTCATATTTATAATGAGAAATAAAATAATAAATGAAAAGAAATACTATAATAAATAACATTTAAACATTATAGAACTTAGAATCCTTTCAGAATTATATATTATACTTCACACTTTTATATATAATATATTATATAACATATTCTATAGTATTAAATATAGTGTTTATATACCATATCATGTAATTATATAATAGACATGCAAATAGAAGGAATGAGTATTAAACAAATATAATATTACATAAACAATTAATAAAATTAGTTATCATTTAGAGTAATAAAATCTTGGGGCACACAGGCTGGTGTGCTTCTTCCACGTGGACGTAGTTGGCTGCCATGGAGGATTTCTTTGGCATCCTTCCTCACACAGCCGAGCAGGGGCTCTGGCCCAGTTTCAGGAAGAGTCCACCAAGCCCGAGAGCCAGTTCTCTCTCTCTCACCGCGGTGTTGTGTTTGCCCATCCCTGTATCTCTGCTCCTCTGCCCCTACGGCGAAGATGGTCCACCCCAAATCAGTTCTAGAAACATAGATTCACCACGCAGGCTTTCTCTCCGTCTCCACCCCTCCCTCTCAGAAGACGAAGGAGGATGTTTGGTCCACATTGGGTTGAGTGACCCCCGTCCAGGCGCACCGAGGTCTGGGGGCAGGGGCAGGGGCAACACAGAGCTGTCCAGAGTCCTTCCTGGCCTGAGAGTAGAGGCCAGAGCAGCGCTGAGAGCAGGGAAACTGTAGGGAGCTGATTGGGAAGACAACAGGGGTCACCCTCTGTGCCTCACATGATGCTTTTGTCTCCCATGGGGAGTCCTTGAATGAAAAGCAGCCCGTGCCTGGGACATCCCCTTTCCACCCTTTGGCCCTCCCCGTGGGTAGGTGTTCATTCCTTGTCAAAGGGGAGAGGTGTTATTGTTAATTATGGATTTTGTTGAGTCAAATTGGTGACAGAAGTTACATATTGCTTCTGCACAGAACTGGATAATGGTGCGCACTTGATATGGTCCCCCAGAACGAGGATATACTTGTGACACACACGTTTGTGGTCATCCATAGAACCCTGATGGCATAATGGTTACAAGTTGGGCTGCTGACTGCAAGGTCAGCAGTTCAAAACCACCAGCCACTCCTTGGGAGAAAGATGGGACTTTCTACTCCCATTAAGAATTTCAGTCTTGAGGACCTGATGCTGGGGGCTTAAGTGGAGAGGAAATGTTTTGAGAATGATGAGGGCAATGAATGTACAAATGTGCTTTACACAATGGATGCATGTATGGATTGTGATAAGAGTTGGATGAGCCCCTAATAAGACGATTGGGAAAAAAAAAGAATCTCAGTCTCGGAAACTTACAGGGGACAGTTCTACCCTCCTCTATAGAGTCATTATGAGTTGGCCTCGACTTGATGTCCGTGAGTATTTTTTTTCTTAATTACATAATCTTAGTGTTGCCAGTTCAGCGGTAGGATTTTCAATTTCCATGCCAAGGACTCAGGTTTGAGTCCCAGTCAATGCATTCCCTGTGCGGCCATCACCTGTGTGTCCAGGGAGGTTTACATGTCACTATGAGGCTTCCGTGTTACACGTTTTAACAGAACTTCCAGGAAGACTAGGAAGAAAGGCCTGGCTGGCTACTTCTGAAAACCTGTGAATGAAAGCCTTGCAGACACAGTGAGGCCGATCGCGGGGGTGATGCTGGTGCAGGGTCCACCAGTGCTTCTTTCTGTCGTGTGTGGACTTGGCGTGACTCAGGAGCTGGCTTGATGCCTCTCAGCAATCATGTCGTGACTTAATCCACAATTACTTGTTACGGTTCCTCTACGGAGCTCCGTGGGGATTTGGATTCGAGTTTAAGCTCTGGGAGGCAATGGAAGGGATTATACCAGGATGGGAATCGTTTTGATGGCTGCTCTTTGATTTCGAAGGCTGAATGTAGGTCTGAATTTTCCATTCCCAGTTGCTGAATTCTCAGTGTCAAAGAAGTCATTTGCTTGACAACTGCTTCCTGCACGTTTGTTCTGAATCTGTCCTGCTGGTGTTTCTGAACCCATGGGTAGGGGCGCTGAGGATGGGCAACTTTTGAGACCGCACCTAACGTTTTTAAATCCTCAGAGTTTATGTGTACTGTTCATTTTTTATTGTATTCTCTTAGACCTTGGTGTTGATGTGTTCAAGGCCACATCTAATCTATTAATATACACACAGATGAGAGCAAATACCCCTGAGGCCGTCAAATGTTCTGAACCATATTTTCTTTCTTTTTAGCCGTCTCCGTTATGAGGTACAGCGCCTCTGCTTTTGGGTTTGCAGTAAGTAACCGGATATGTATTTTTTATGAAGTTTTGCACGTCTTCCCTGAGCCCACCGGCCTAACCCTGGGCCCTCAAATAAGAGGTTGGTTAGCAGAAGAGAACTTCGTAAAGAGGAACACTCGTGGAAATAGCCGCTGTAAAGACGTACACTTTCATCGAAATCACTGCATGGAGACTGGGTGGTCTCAAGGACGGATTAGCGGAACTACGTTTTCTCACAGTTGGTTGTCAGCATGTTTCAGGGGGTTAAGCCCCTCCCCCCAGGAAAATGGACACAAAGCAGAGTGAAGTATTAAGATTGGGGCTGCCCAGTCTGGGGTGACCTGGGCTCTGAGCTTACCCTCTGGGTCCCTGGAGAAAGCCGTCCTGCAGGTTACATGTGCTGAAGAACTGGGAGCTGCTTGCCATGCCTCCTTTGAGAGAGTGTGCTAGTGTGCTAGGGTGCTTTTCCCAGCGGGCCCTGCAGAGCAGCGTGGTGCCTGCTGGGAAAAGACATCCAGTGGAGGAGCCTCAGGGTATCCTGTCATGGAGAGGGTGTTCCTGCCCCTGGCCCCTCCTGACCCTTGGTGCTCGGAAGTGGAATGTAATGTTTTGGGTGTGTTGCACATTCTTTTTAGAATCTTCACAAAGACAGGAACCCTTTCGTCAGGAAAGCCCACCAGAGGCACACATAACACTGCCTGCCACCTGCCTGCCCTCTGCCCAGCTTTCTTTCGGGGACTCAAGGGAAAACCCTGAATGTGTAACTTCGAAGGGGGACTCAAGGGAAAACCCTGAATGTGTAACTTCGAGGGGCTGGTCACCTCTGGGTCTCCCTGGGTCGCCCCTACCCCGCCCTCTAGAGCCCAGATTGAGCAACTCCACGAAGAACCTCCGTCTTTCACGTGGGGTGTGTAGGAAAAGGCTGGAATAATTGTGCTTGCCCGGAGGAAATGGAATCAATGTGGAGGCTGCGGGGTGCCGACAGACCACCTTGTGCAGACGTGTCTTTGAGGGTAAGGGGTGACCTCCCTTGTGAGGACAGGAAGGAGCTCGCTCAGGTGTTCCAAGTCCCAGCACCGTTGCCCTGTGCCTTTGCCGTCATGCCCGATTCACAGGAGGAAGCCACTAATTCCGCATCTCCTTCTCCTAGTTTGATGCCATCCTGGACGTCCTGTCGTCTGCAATTGTCCTGTGGCGTTACAGCAATGCAGCCGCGGTGCACTCCGCCCACCGGGAGTACATGTAAGTGCCACTTCACCTGGCTCTGGGGAGTGCTGGTGTCAGCCCCGGATGACCGGAAGGGCTTGAGCAGCCGTTCAGAGGGACTGGTCTGATCTCAGCCACATGGTGGGCAACTCCTGGCTGGCCAGAGAGATGGGATGTCCTTTGGAATGCTTCCCGTTCATCCCCTGCCTCATTCTATGATGGGAATCTTTGGTCCTTTGACTGTTGAAAGCCCGTATTTTACATAGGGTTCGTGTATCGGTGTGGGTTCCGTGGGAGTGGGTAGCGGAGGTAGGATGTGGGCAGAAGATGGGGACCAGGCATGGGACCAGGTGTGAACTGGCTCTTTCACTGTGAAAGGGATCGGGATTGTTTGCAGGCTTAGTGGAGCAATGAAGACCGTGAACTGGGTGCTTTTGTTAGAGATGGATGCCTTAGAGTGGCCCTGAGGTTGGGGGGTGACAATGGACACAAAGAGGGGTAGTGAGTGGTTCTGTCTGGCAGCAACTGGAAGTATGGGAAAAAAGCAGGGGGAAAAAAAGCTTGGAAGGGACCGCCGAGACCTTGGAGTGAGAAGGAATTAAAAAAAACTTCGATGCTATCCAGTCATGGCTGACTCACGGTGACCCAGGTGACCCCAGTGACCCCCTCCTGTGGGTTTTCTAGACTGTAACTGTTGGCGAGAGTAGAAAGCCCGGTCTTTCTCCCTCGGGGCTGTTGGTGGTCTCCAATGTGTTACCCCTACACTACACCACATTTAAAAATGTGTCTTCAAACAGCACCATGTTCCTCCCTGTGCTGCTTGCATTTCAAGGAGCGGTAGCTTGTTCAAGGAGCGGCCAGGTCTTGGTTAGGTCAAGAAAGGAGAGGTGAAGGAAAATATATGAGACTCATCATTCGCAAAACATTTGCTCTCCACCGAAGCCCCTGGCATTAGCTCCTGAGGGCAATGAATGTACAAATGTGCTTTACACAATTGATGTATGTATGGATTGTGATAAGAGTTGTAGGAGCCCCTAATAAAATGATTTTAAAAAAACAACAACCTTGCTGTTCTCGAAATAAATAAACAGGAACATTATCATAATGAAAAAACAAACAAACATATGAAACTGGACTTAAAGTGAAAGGACTTGGAAGGGAAGCAGGTAGACCTGCCCAGGAAGTGTGCTGAGGGGGGGGGGGATGGGTGTGAACATGATGGTGTCACTGGATTGCTATGCAGCCCCTCAAAAAAAAAAAAGAAAGAAAAGAAACCCTATTTGTACCATTGTATGCTGATTGATCTCCAAGATGCAGCAAAGGAAGAAAGCATGGGGTAAAACTGCGTGTGTTGTCTTTTCTTATTGGTTTTACCAAAAGAGTTTTGCATCATCTGCTAACACTTATGTCAGCGTTTACAGGCTCTCTGAAAGGACTCTGGGGAGCTTGGCAGGGTGACCCCCGCCCCGTCCCCCCAAACTGGGAAGAGGTCTGGGGACAGAGGAAGGAGCAGGGACATTTTATTTCTATGTCCTTTCGACCTGAGCTGCCGACTCAAACTCTCTAGGTTGGTGGAGATGCCCTATATGTGTATGGTCCACGGAGGTAGGTGGACGTGCCCTGTATGTTTGTGGCCCAGGATGGTACCCTCCACACGTGGTCATCGTGCGTTTGAAACATGGCTAGAGGAGCCACGCAGCTGGATGTTGCGTTTCACTGGGCTTTAATTAGTCACACGTGGCCACTCGCCGTTGTCCTCACAACACACTTGCATAGAATTTGATCATTATTCACCGATTCTTCAAAAAGCCAATTTGTTCATCAAAGGCCAGCGTCTTTGGAAAGCAGAGGCGGAGCTGGGCAAGGCCAAATGGCACAGGGAATTTCACGCCTGCCTTCGCCATTTTCAGCTCCGTGTACCATGTAAGGTTGTGTGAGGTCGCGGGAGGGACAGCCTCCTGCTGATGTGAGCTGGGTGGTGGCGGGCCGTCGGGATGCCTGCCACAGAAGGTACAGCCTGACTCTCACTGGGGGCACCTGACATTTTGCAGATGAGGGTGGCGCAGTCGGGACCACGTGTAAGCTCCTGGGTCCCAGCTGTCTCTTTGGACACCCGTCAGCTCGTGGAGCCGGAGAGGTGGAGGCAGGTGGGAAGCATGCCTCACCTTGGCAGGCTCCTCGTTCTGCAACACTGGGCCAACACATAGCCGGGCGGTGGTTCTTTCAGTCCAAACATCTCTAAATGGCATTGTGTGTGCAGCATACTGCCGGGCATGCTTGAGAGTTTGGAATGGATATTCTCAGTGCAGCACCAGTCCTGTGTGCATCTTACCGTGCAAAATACATAGGCCATGCTGGTTCTCACCCAGGCTCCTTGCTCTGCTTTCCATCCCAATTTGCTGAACCAAGTGCCCTGGCCTGAACACACCCGGCTGACAGGATGGCTTGGTAGCCTTTTGCTGACTGACTGGCTTCAGGGGCACCCTCGCTGTTTTTGGAAACAGCGCCCGAGACTGCAAAAGAAAAGCAGCGAAGCCAATCAAGAGATGACGATGGGTCATTGGCTTCGAGAGTCTGACCTGAGTGGGCCACAGGGCAACGAGTTGCGTCCAGTATATGTCTTCAAACAGGACCACGTTCCACCCTTTCCTCGTGGGGTGTTTGACCTGCCCCTCAACGGGAGATTCAGGGGAAGCAAATCTCACCTACTGCCTTTTGTCTACACTCCAGAGTAGGGCTTGAAGTGATCTCAGAGGTGCCTTAAGTGACAGGTGAGATCCAAGGCGAAGGTAGAGCCTTCCATCTGCGGCATAAACCAAACCAAACTCACGGCCATGGAGTCAAGGCTGACTCCAAGCCACCCCAAGTCTTCATGGGAGGAGAAAGCCCCCATGAAGCGACAGGTGCTTGTTACGCGTTGCAGTTAACAGCCCAACTCGTAAGCACCCCACTACCAGGGCTCCCGTGTCTTCTGCATAGGCCTCTGCAAAATGGGCAGCCAAGGTATCCCTGTGAGGAACCAGGAGCTCCTGACCCAAGCCACACTACTTCAAAGGACTCACCTGCCTATGCCAACTGGACACTGGGGAAAAAGAACCACAGATGTGTTTGAATTAGGGTGTTGACCATGCTGATATTATTATTAAAAAGTTAGGTAGTTCATAAAGAGAAAAAGAAGACAGGAAAACTCGCCTGTTGTAGGTCCTCCCAGGGATGGTTGGATAGATATGCTCTGTGTATGTATTCATGCATGCATGCATATGAGTAAACAATCACTGCTATGGAGTTGATGCCAACTCATGGCGACCCTGCAGCACAGGGTGGAAAACTGTCCCTGCGAGTTTCTGAGACTGGCATGTTCAAGGGAATAGA